ACCTACACACACACACACACACACACACACACACATATATATATATAAGACAAATAATTTTTATTACAATTAATATATCTAAATCAAACTTTTGTTAAGAAAAAAAAAATGTGTCCACACCAAAGCTATTGATCTCGTGATACATCGTCTACTACAATGAGATCTGATATCCCACTTCATCAGAGTGTGCAGTATATTGACCGTCACATAAGAAAGCCCCCTACGGCTGAAAGGGCGAGCATGTTTGGTGGGACGGGGATTCGAACCCGCAACCCTTAGATTGCGAGTCAAGTGCCCTAACCACCTGGCCATGCCGGGCCGTTCCATGTAATGAACGAAGAAGATAAGAAGTGATGGATGTTACATTCAACATTACATTATTTAATAATGTAACGTTGAATGTAACATCCATCACTTACTGAATCTGACTTGCATGGATTAAATACTTGCATGGATTAAACAGATTCAGTATATGGAATACATAACAATGAATCAGATTTATTCCGTGGACAACAAGTTACATTTCTATTTCCAGGAAACGGAAAGTTATTTGTAAAATATGAAGACGTTTTGTATTTAATACGCATGTAATGTATATTAAGATTGATTTACTGGTTTTTTTTCCAATTGAATGTTTATTCTTACTAACAGAAATGGAGGCTCAGCATATGTGAGCTCGAAATTCTAATAATATATATATTTTTTTTCCATTTAGTGTTTATTCCAAGAACTCGTGCAGAAGTGAACGAAAGTTAGGAAGACAAAGGTTTGACGATAATTACTGGACATCATCCTTGACGAGTGGATCGCATGACCTAATCTCCACGACCTCACAGGATGACCAGAGTCCTGCTTCCTGGGAGAAGCTCCACAATATCAAGAAACAAGGAACCACACTTATTTTTCACTCCAATTCAATGCGAAGTCGAATGTGGCCAGAGATCGTTCTCGGGACATCTGAGCCCCAATTTCCCACGAACGCGGCGTCTCAGCCGGATACAAGTGTGTGTGACCAGCCAGTGACCTCTGACCCTGTACCTCTCGTGCCGTTTATTTCTGAACAGAACTCTCAACTCGAAAAGCCTAGTCACAAACCCGAGTCCCCTATAGAAAACTTCTTATCATTTCAGCCACTAGAAAAAGTAGAGACCCAGAAAGACGACTGTGACGTCAGTAGGAGTGGTGTTTCTTCTCTATATCCACCAGAGTGCCAACTTCTTCAGATGAAATTAGTAGAAAATCAAGTTATTCAAGATAAGCTAACAAACAAATCTAGGTCTGTTGTGAATGGCCAGAACGATGAACGGTTACCTATCGTGGATAATTTTAAAGATGACACTATAACAATACGTGAAGAATCTCCACAAGAAGAGTTAAACAAAACAAATTCGGACCAGCATTGTTTACGGGAGATGATCTGTGTTGCTAGTAGCGACAGTCCAAGACAATCAACAGTCAACAGAATAAACTGTGCCACCCAAACTCCAGGCACTCCAGTAATTGGACGAAAACATAAAACAGAAGAAGAGCTGGAGTGTGAAAGGCTCTCTGAGGATTATATCAACTATTGTGATGACGCCGTGCTGAGAAACCTGCTTGGTAAGCTTGTTGCTGTAAAAGATGAAGTAGCTATTTGTACTCTATAAATAACACAGTTATTTCTGTTGAAATACTCGAATTGACAGGGATTATTTGATGTGGAAATACCGGTCATTCGCGAAGTTTTATGTTTGTTTGTTATGAATTTCGCGCAAAGCTACACAACAGCTATCTGCGCTAGCCGTCCCTAATTTAGCAGTGTAAGACTAGAGGGAAGGCAGCTAGTCATCACCACCCTCCGCCAACTCTTGGGCTACTCTTTTACCAACAAATAGTGGGATTGACCGTCACATTATAACGCTCTCACGGCTGAAAGGGCGAGCATGTTTGATGGGACGGGGATTCAAACCCGCGACCCGCAGATTGCAAATCGAGCGCCCCCTATCAACCTGGCCAAATGTGTGTGAAATAATTTTTAAACCTTTTGTAGGGAACGAGTCATATTTCAAACCTTCTATAGGGAACGGGTCATATTACAAACCTTCTAGTAGGGAACGGGTCATATTACAAACCTTCTATAGGGAACGGGTCATATTACAAACCTTCTATAGGGAACGGGTCATATTACAAACCTTCTATAGGGAACGGGTCATATTATAAACTTCAAAACATTAAAGTAATTACAACAAAAGTAATAGATATGTCTGTGCATATACAAAAACCACCGATCGCATGGGGAGTAACCCCCTTCAACCTTTCGTTGCTGAGGAGCAATACATTTTATTTCCCCGCCCCCTATTTTACAATCACTTTTTTTTTAAATACAGACTAAATGTGAAACAGCTAGAATTCTAATTGGTTGTTCTTGTTACAAAAGCAACGAGAAGAGAACGTAAAAACGTTTTTCCGAAGGCTCCCCCCTTATTTTTAGATAATAGACTCGTCCGAAAGTATGAACATGAATCGTCATCTTTATCTCGAGAAGAAATAGTATTATCGTCTGTCCAGCAACAATTTTTCGAAAAACGCTGAATTCATACACCAAAGAGTATTGTTAACCACCTAGGCAAAAATGTTTCATCCAATAAAATATGCGATCAATACAAATCCTAGCGGAAAGGCTTGCAAAAAGTACTAAAAAGAAAAGAAGCCAAATGTTTCTACGTTTCATTTTACAAACTTAACAAATGTTTTAAGGAAATACGAAACGATTCTTTAAGATCTAAGCGACGTCGTAAGTCACAAGCTTCATTTATAAAATTAGATATTTGATTCACGTGGTTTTTATTCCATTTTACAGTGCCAACGCCAAATTATAAGACTATATCTGACTATATGGAAGGATTGTTTAACTTGGAACTGGAAAGGGGTGGACGGCCTGTTAGGAGATGCCATTCAGTCCGAGCTGATGCGGTCAAGTTGGTCAGTAATTATACTACTTCCGTCAAATCGGAAAGCAGGTGTGTGTTGGACGAAAATATATATAATAAGATTGAGAGTCCATGTGTGTGTGTTTTGGACGAAAATATATATGATAAGATTTGAGAGTCCATGTGTGTGTGTGTTGGACGAAAGTATATATAATAAGATTCAGAGTCCATGTGTGTGTGTGTGTTGGGCGAAAATATATATAATAAGATTGAGAGTCCATGTGTGTGTGTTGGACGAAAATATATATAATAAGATTCAGAGTCCGCGTGTGTGTGTGTTGGACGAAAATATATATAATAAGATTCAGAGTCCGCGTGTGTGTGTGTTGGACGAAAATATATATAATAAGATTCAGAGTCCATGTGTCACGTAACTCCTCCTAAAACGCTTGTCGCACCGACTTCTAAGTGGTACCAAACGAATCCTCGATCCCGAGGTTTACATAAAGTAAAACATTTCACCCAACCCCTTAGGAAATCCGGGTATTTCGCGAAAAAACTTTTACGGGGAATCCCCGAAAGCGAACCCTAAATTTGGTACTTATTTACAGTAAATATGTAGATCAACTAACTACCATTCGTTAAAAAAAAATAAACTTGAGATAGTATTTTTTACGATTACGTTACATATGTATCGCTTGTTTTATGTAGGTATTTTAGTTTTATACAAGCTTAATATTCTTTAGTAGGGCATCGCAAAGGTAATAGGAAAAGACTGTGTGTTTGTGTGTGTGTTTAAAAAGTTTTTGTGGGTTTAACGATAGAAACCAAACGTGTAAAAGTTTGTAGTGTCAATATTTCTGTAATATTTTATTAAACCGAGTTTTATGGTTTTTAATTTGTTGTTGTTGTTCCGTATTTTGTCTGTCGATATTTAACTGTTGCGTCGAAAAGTCTCCATTGATATGCCGGAGCTTTAGATAAATACTGAAAATATGATTTGGAGATGAAAATAATCATTTCACAAAGTTGATTAAAATATATTTATTGAGGAAACACAGTTGTCCTCATTAACGTTTGACGAGTTAGCTCATCGTCATCAGGTTAGCAAAAGGGTAATTAGTAATTCCATTCTTTAATTATAGATAACCTATTTTATTATTCCCATTTTCACAGGCAGGGGGCTGTACTACCATTAACCAGTGCTTATTACACAACGTCCGAATCCAAAGCTAAGTTTCTAACTCGGTACAGCCAAGACATACACCAACAGAACTGTGCATCGGACACCGAACTGAGCAGTAAAAAGGTACAGAAGATTTCCATTAAAAATTAGCGTCATCGTGTTTTTACACTTTTCACTCCAACTTTTAACCTAAAACTCTAACCTTATCACATTTCACACCTTTATTACACCTATCTAGGGATGTCTCAGATTACTTTCTTTGAAACAATACATGTATGTACTATAACTCCCTCTACTGGAAATGTTTTCACTCCAACTTTTAACCTAAAACTCTAACCTTATCACATTTCACACCTTTATTACACCTATCTAGGGATGTCTCAGATTACTTTCTTTGAAACAATACGTATGTGTACTATAACTCCCCCTACTGGAAATGTTTTCACTTTTATTTTGTAATTAATATTGATTTCCGATCACAGAAAGCTGTGTACTTAGAGCGAAACTAAAAATCAACCTGGAAATCAGTTTAGCGGAATATATATGATCATTTATGATTACAAAAAAATAGAATGCATTGTTTCATTAGTTGGGTAATCTTGCTTTTAACGATATTTTCGGCCGTAATCCCAATAATAACTTACAAGACTTGGCCATCGTAGGAGATTTAGGTTAGAAAAACATTTTCACTAATTTATCTGTGTTGTTTAACTTTACAGGAAGAATTAATTGCTAGTATAGACAAGAAATTGGAACTCCTTCGATTGGAACAGGTTGTCATTCGAGAGGAGATGGCTCAGAACGAAGATCTGGGAAAAGTAGTAACCTCACGAGTGGAACAGTTGGCTAAGCCTAAGGAGTTAGAGAAATATCGACTGCACGTAGAGGAACTCGAGAAAATTATCAATTTGTTGTTGTCTCTCTCGGGAAGACTAGCACGTGCTCAAAATGCCCTCGTGTGTTTACGTCCAGATGTCGAAGAGGAAGAAAAGGTTATTATATACTTTTATAAGAAGTAATTAATTATTCAGTTCAGTTTCTCCAAAGTTTTAAAAAGTCCACTAATGGATACAAAAAAAAACATTTTAATCAAATATAAGTGAAACTTTTGAGGATTACGGTAGCAGAAAAACACGAGTCAGCTTTGTGGCGGAAGTATACACTATAATCTGTTTGCTTTGATTTAAATTAACCTCTACAATGGGCCACTTTTTTTTAAACTTAAAGTAGTTTACTGTAGACCTACGATTCCACGTTCGCCTGCCGTTACTACAAGACCGTTACGTGGGTCTGACATAAAGTTGACGGCCAAATCTCACTATACAGTCAGACAAGAGTGGCCCAATAGTTGGCGGTGAGTCCTGTTGACTATTAGCGACAACTAGCACAGATGTAGTCTTTAAGTAGCTTGGGGCAAATATCCGCGAACACAAAACGATATTTTAAAATTTGAGACCAAATTGATAAACGATATCAAGTCTGTTACCGAGAGATGATCCTCGTGCTTTACTGGAGTAATTCACTTTCTCATCATCATTATTGGTGTCTTTGAAATTATGTCTAATGTCTAAGATATTGATGGCTACAATTAACACGTTTTTTTGTTTTTTCTTCACAGAAAGCACTTCAAGCGAAGTGTGACAAACTGTCAGAACAACACGAAGAAGCTCGACGGCTGAAAGAAAGTATTGACAAACGCAGCCACCAGGTGTCGACGTTTCTTCATCGCTATTTGTCCTCTGAGGAATACGCGGACTACGATCACTTCATCAAGATGAAGTCGAAGTTGGTCATGGACGCTCGCGAGATAGATGAGAAGGTTAAACTTGGTGAAGAACAGCTGGCAGCTTTACGCAATAATGCGAACTTTCAAATTTGGAAACAAGTTCTGACGAAGGCGAAGATAAATGCCAGAACCTAAGCCTTGATGCGTGAACCATCTTATGTAATGAAAGTTGTGCAATGTTTGTCTTCTGCTATATTTTGCAGTTGCACAAAAACTTTCAAGACTGTCAGTGACATTAAACCCTTAAGTGTACATCGTGATTCTTGTGCTTGACAAACGCGAGATTGTTGGTGATTCTTGTGCTTGACAAACACAAGATTGTTGGTGAATCTTGTGCTTGACAAACGCAAGATTGTTGTGATTCTTGTGCTTGACGAACACAAGATTGTTGGTGAATCTTGTGCTTGACGAACACAAGATTGTTGGTGAATTGTGTGCTTGACGAACGCAAGCTTGTTTGTAATTCTTGTGCTTGACAAACACAAGATTGTTGGTGAATTGTGTGCTTGACAAACACAGGATTGTTTGTAATTCTTGTGCTTGACAAACACAAGATTGTTGGTGAATCTTGTGCTTGACAAACACAAGATTGTTGGTGAATCTTGTGCTTGACGAACACAAGATTGTTGGTGAATCTTGTGCTTGACGAACACAAGATTGTTGGTGAATTGTGTGCTTGACAAACACAAGATTGTTGGTGAATCTTGTGCTTGACGAACACAAGATTGTTGGTGAATTGTGTGCTTGACAAACACAAGCTTGTTTGTAATTCTTGTGCTTGACAAACGCAAGATTGTTGGTGAATCATGTGCTTGACGAACACAAGATTGTTGTGGTTCTTGTGCTTGACAAACACAAGATTGTTGTGGTTCTTGTGCTTGACAAACACAAGATTGTTGTTACCTTGACAATTCCTAAAGTTATATAAATACAACTAAAACATTTCATTTAGAAAACACTCGTTTTCTTCGAAGTTCATCAGAATCGCCATTATGTCAAATAAACTACAGCGACGATTAGAGAGTGGCGAGTTTCAGAACTAAAAATGAAATAAACTAAAGCGACGATTAGAGAGTGGCGAGTTTCAGAACTAAAAATGAAATAAACTAAAGCAACGATTAGAGAGTGGCGAGTTTCAGAACTAAAAATGAAATAAACTAAAGCGACGATTAGAGAGTGGCGAGTTTCAG